TATTTATCCATAAATGTATTGCTATGAGACATGTCTGAGATGGGATTTTGCTGCCTGTGGTTTCTTCTAGGATTTTTATGGTTTTATGACTTACACTTAAATCTTTTGTCCATTTTGAGTTTATTTTTTTGTATGGTGTATGTTGGTCTAGACTCCAGTTTCATTTTTTTGCATGTATCTGTCCAATTTTGCCAACAACATTTATTGAAGGGAGTGTCTTGACTCCATTGTATGTTGATGCCTCTTTTGTTGAATAGTGGTTTGAGTTGATTTTTGGGTTCTCTACTGTATTCCATTGATCAATATGTCTTTTCTTGTGCCAGTACCAGACTGTTTTGAGAAGAGTGGCTTTGTAATACAGCCTTGATATCTGATATTGAGATCCCTTCTACATTGTTGTTCTTTCTCAGGATTTCTGCAGCTATTCAGGGTCTTTTTTTATTCCAGATGAATTTTTGGAGAGTTCATTCTAGATCTGTGAAATATACCATTGGTATTTTAATGGAGAGTGCATTGAATCTATAGATGTCTTTGGGTAGAATGGACATTTTGACTATGTTTATTCTACCAATCCATGAACATGGTCTGTTGTTCCATCTGTTTATGTATTCCTCTATGTCTTTTTTCAGTGTCCTGTAATTTTCTGCATATAGGTCTTGTACCTCCTTAGTTAAGTTTATTCCTAGGTATTATAATATTTTTGGTGTGATGGTAAATGGGATTGCTTTTTTAGTCTTTCTGTAAGTTCACTATTGGTGTATAGAAATGCCATAGATTTCGTGGCTTTCATTTTGTATCTTGCTACATTGCCGAATTCATTTATTAAGTCTAAAAATTTTTTGATGCAGTCAGAGTTTTCTTTATGTAGTATCATGTCATATGCAAATAAAGACAGTTTTACTCCTTCCTTTCCAATTTGGATGCCTTTTATTTCTTCTTGTCTGATCACAATGGCTACTACTTTCAGTACTATGTTGAACAGGAGTGGTGAGAGTGGGCATCTCTGTCATGTTCCTGCTCTTAGGGGAAATGATTTTAGTTTTTGTCCATTGAGTATGATGTTGGCGACAGATTTGTCATATATGGCTTATCATGTTGCAGTATGATCCTTCTATTCCCACCTGCTGAGAGTTTAGAGTTTTCTTTATGTAGTATCATGTCATATGCAAATAAAGACAGTTTTACTCCTTCCTTTCCAATTTGGATGTTTACTCCTTTTCTTGCCTTAATGGACTGGCCAGAATCTTGGGCATGATGTTGAATAGAAATGGCGAGAGTGGAAACCCTTGCCTTGTTCTTGCTGTTCAGGGGAGGGGTTCAGTCTGTTACCCTTAAGGATAAGGCTAGCTGTAGTTGTTACAGATGTCCTTTACTGGGACGAGAAATCCTCCTTCTATTCTTAGTTTACTGAGAGTTTTTATCAGGAATCAACGTTAGATTTTGTCAAATGCTTTTCTGTGTCTATTGAGACGATCATATGGTTTTTATATTTTAGTTTGCTAATATGGTGCATTACATTGGTTGCTTTTTAACTATATTAACTCAACCTAGCAGTCTGGGATAGTTCCCACTTAGTCATGATGTTTTATCCACTTAATATATTGTTGGATTTAATTTGCTAAAATTTCTAGAAAG